CATGTGGGGTGAGAAAAGGACGGAGACGATTAATGTTGCGCAATTGAAAATATGCAAACCGAGTGACATTGTTAATGTGTGAATTGAAAGAGAGAGTACTGTCGAGGATGACACCCAAGCTTTTCACAGAGGAAGAAACGAAGACCGGCGAGTTATTGATAGTAACAGAGAAACTGTTGGTTCTGGATAATGTTGATTTAATGCCTACCAAGAGAAGCTCGGAATTATTACTTATTTATGTATTAATTTGATTTGGTTGGCCTGCATTTTTTCTTTGATGATTTTCACAGTAAACTCAAAAGCTTTTAGTTCTGAACTGATAGCTGTCCAATGAAAGTGATATTAAGATGTCCCTTATGGTTTTAGGATACTGTTATTGACATTTTTAATTGGCTTTATTGGCTATAGTGAGGTTCTTAAATGGGGAGATCAAATGTGTGCTGTGAAAAAAGTCCATTGTGCAGAGTTGCCAAAAGAATGACTGAATCATAAGATATTTGTATTATGATTAAATCAATAAACTTAACAAGCATACCCATCACTGTCCATCAGTAAAATAAAACTGCACCTGTTTATGTTTATGATGTGCCCATCGTCCACATTTCTCTCTTTCATTGACTGATAAGCTTCACGTGCACAGATACACAGTGCAAGAACGTTCACCTGTAAGAAACCAGAAGTGAAATAAACAGTAAAGAACATTTTTGGAATCATCCATCCATCCATTCACTTCCGCTTATCTTCTTTCAGGGTCACAGGGGGCGCTGGAGCCTATCCCAGCTGTCTTAGGGCAAGAGGCAGGGTACACCCTGGGCAGGTCGCCAGTCTGTCGCAGGGCTAACACACAGACAGAGACAATCATTCACACTACACATTCGCTCCGCATTTACACCTATGGGCAGTTTTAGTATTTCCAATTAACTAGGGATGCACCGATACTGGTATCGGGTATTGGCCTCGATACCACATCTTCTAAAGTACTTGTACTCGTTAAAAGTCCCCCGATACCGAGGACCGATACCACGGTCTGAGACCTGTCTATGTTTGAGCGGCATGTAAGGGGTTAATCACAGGCGTCGAGTGCCCGCCCCCAGGCCCCGGCTGCAGCTCAGCGCGGGGAGAAAGCGAGGCGAGACATATCAGCTGTGTGGAAGTATTTCAAAGTGAATGAAGACTCGAAAACAAAGGCGGACTCCAAATTGCGCTCAGCGAAATTGTCCAGAGGAGGCTCTAAAGGTAGCGCATTTAACACAAGCAATTTAATCAAGCACCTAAAATCCCAACACAACAACGAGTACAAAGAGTTTACCCACACTTATTAGCACAGAGGAGCATAGCTGATGCTATAGCAGTGGGACGGAAAATAGTTGGGCATTTTAAACATTCCGCCTTAGCCTACTCCCGCCTCGAGGACATTCAGGGACAGCTCAACCAGCCAATAAAGAGACTGCAGCAGGACGTACAGACGCGCTGGAACAGCATGCTCCAGTCCCTCATTGAGCAAAAGCGAGTGCTGGGCGTGTATGTATCCGAGCACGAACTCCCTGAGTATCTCACCGCTCACCAATGGGCTCTTATGGAGACGACTGTTGCCATCCTCGCCCCCTTTGAGGAACTAACTAAAAAAGTGAGCAGCTACTAGTGATGGGACGTTCTGTATCGAGGCTTCGGAGCGTGTGTCGAGTAATGGAGGGGGCGTTTCCGCGAAGCGCGTATCGAGGCTTGCTTCATTTATGGGAGGAGCTGAAAATGATGACGTCCGAAGCCTCGCTGCCCGGCTGTACCACGTGACTGGTTCATGAAGTGGTTCGAACTTTGCCGCGAAATATGACAGCGAT